AATGTTGAGTTTTAAGCCAACTTTTTCACTCTTCTCTTTCACTTTCATCAAGAGGCTCTTTAGTTCCTCTTCACTTTCTGCCATAAAGCTGGTGTCATTTGCATATCCGAGGTTATTGATATTTCTCCCAGCAATCTTAATTCCAGCTTGTGCTTCATCCAGCCTGACATTTCTCATGATGTACTCTGCATATAAGTTAAATAAGCAGGGTGACAATATACAGCCTTGGTGTACTCCTTTCCCAATTTGGAACCAGTCTGTTGTTCCATGTCCAGTTCTAACTGTTGCTTCTTGACCTGCATACAGATTTCTCAGGAGGCAGGTCAGGTGGTCTGTTATCCCCATCTCCTTCAGAATTTTCCACAGTTTGCTGTGATCCACAATCAAAGGCTTTGGCGTAGTCAATAAAGCAAAAGTAGATGTTTCTCTGTAACTCTCTTGCTTTTTCGATGATCCAGCGGATGTTGGCAGCTTGCTCTCTAGTTCTTCTGCTTTTTCTAAAACCAGCTTGAACATCTGGAAGTTCACGGTTCATGTACTGTTGAAGTCTGGCTTGGAGAATTTTGAGCATTACTTTACTAGCGTGTGAGATGAGTGCAATTGTGCAGTCATTTGAGCATTCTTTGGCATTGCCTTTCTTTGGGATTGGAATGACAACTGACCTTTTCCAGTCCTGTGGCCACTGCTGAATTTTCCAAATTTGCTGACATACTTAGTGCAGCACTTTCACAGCATCATCTTTTAGGATTTGAAATAGCTCAATTGGAATTCCATCACCTCCCCTAGCTTTGTTCATAGTGATGCTTCCTAAGGCCCACTTGACTTTGCATTCTGGGATGTCTGGCTCTAGGTGAGTGATCAACAACAACAAAAAAGGCCCTGAACCTGAGTGCTTCACAAGTGAATTCTACCAAACATATACAGAACTGATACTGTCCTTCTTAACCTTTTCCAAAAAATCTGAGGAAGAGAAACACTTCCTACTTATTCTATGAGGCCACGATTATCCTAATAGCAAAACCATAAAAAAGACACAAGATCTACAGACCAAAATCCCTTATGAACACAGATGTAAGAATTATCATCAGAATACTAGCAAATTGAATTCAGTAGCATATGAAAAGGATTATACACCACGACCAAGTGGGATTTATAACTGGGATGCAAGAATCATTCAATATACAAATATCTATCAATGTTGTAAACCACAGAAAGAAAATAAAGAGGAAAAACATATAATGATCCCAGTTGATGCAGGAAAGGTATTGACAAAATTCAGTAACCTTTAATGATAAAAAGCAAACTGGGAAGAGGAAAAAAAAAGTCTCAATATAATAAATGCCATATATGGAAATAAAACCAAGACCTTTTTTCTTATATCAGAAACAAGTCACGGATGCCTACTTTCACTACTTCTAGTCAGCAAAGTACTGGAAGTCCTAGCCAGAGAAATTTGGTAATAAAACCTTCTTCCAAATTTGGGATGATATGACCTTATACAGGCATATCTTGGAGCTAGTGTAGGTTTGATTCAAGCCCACCACAAAAAAGCAAATATTGCAATAAAGCCAGTCACATGAGTTTTTTGGTTTCCCAGTGCATGTAAAAGTTATGCTTGCACTATTAAGTGTGCAATAGCATTATGTCTGAAAAAGGGTTACATACCTTAAGTAAAAAATTTTGCTGTTCAGCTGCTCAGTCATGTTCAACCCTTTGCAACCCCATGGACTGCAGCACGCCAGGAGTTTGCTCAAATACATGTCCATTGAGTCAGTGATACTATCCAATGTTGACTATCATCTGAGCCTTCAAAAAGTCATAGTAGTAACCCCAAAGATCACTGAGCACCATAAGAATATGATCATCATGGAAAAGTTTGAAATATTACAAGAATTACCAAAATATGATACAGAGACATGAAGTGAACAAATGCTGTTGGAAAAAATGGCACCAATAGACTTCAGTCAGTGTTGCCACAAACCTTCGATTAACACATTATTGTAAAAAACAAAATAAGGCAAAGTGCAATAAAATGAGGTATGGCTGTATGTAGAAAACCCTAAAGATTCTACCCCAAAAAACTGTTAGAACAAATAAATGAATTCAGCAAGTAGCAGGATACATAGCCAAGATACAAAAATGGGTGGTATTTTTCTATACTAGTAATTAATGATCTGAAAGAGAAATTTAGGAAAGCAATTCCATTTACAATAGTATCAAAAAGAATCAAATACTTAGGAATTGATTAAAGAAGTGAGAAACTTGTGCAATAAAAACTATAAGACAGGGGACTTCCCTGGTTGTCCAGTGGCTAAGACTCCATGCTCCCAAAGCAGGGAGCCCAGGTTCAATCCCTGGTCAGGGAAGAATACCCCCATATTGCTGCAACTGAGAATTTGCATGCCACAACTAAACATCCCATGTGCCACAACGAAGATCAAAGATACCGAGTGCCATAACTAAGACCTAGTACAGCCAAATAAATAAAGATTTAAAAAATACAAAACACTGCTGAGAAAAATTAAAGAAATCATAGATAAATGAGGGCTTCCCAGGTGGCTCACTGATGAAGAATCCACCTGCCACTGCAGGAGATGCAGGAGATAAGAGTTCGAGCCCAGGATCAGGAAGATCCCCTGGAGGAGGGAATGGCAACCCACTCCAGTATTCTTGCCTGGAGAATCCCATGGACAGAGGAGGCTGACAAGCTACAGTCCATGGGATCGCAAAGAGTAGGACACAACTGAGCACATGTAGATAGATGAAAACACACCCCACGTTCATGGATTGGAAGACTTAATATTGTTAAAATGTCCCACACTCTCCCTTGGACTGCCTGCAAGAAAAAAACTTCCTCATTATTTCCTTGGGAGAATGAGAGATTTCCCTAGTCATCCCTTTCACGAAGGAGGTAGGCAGCTCTCGTTCCAGCTATATGCAGGGGTCTCAATTCCAGCTTTCTGTCTTGGAGTGTCAACGTCATAGCTTTTACTTCTATGCTGGTATTGTTAATAAAATCCCAGCTCCTAACTGAGAGTTTATATTGGGATATAATTCCCTTCTGACCCAGGAAAGTGATGCTTCTCTCTAGATAGTCAGTATATTTAATATCTGTGCTGTATTTTATACTGCATGTCTATGTGTCTGTAGAAATATGAGGAGCATGGGACACGGTACGTCAATCTGCCCAATTGCCAGAACTCAAAGTTGGAGTCTGTTTCTAATTTTTCAATATTATAAATAATGCTATGAGGAATATCTTTGCCCATTAATCTTCATGCACATCTCTGGCTATTTTCTTTGGACAAATGCCTAGAAATGGTCAAAGAGTAGGAGTGTTTTTAAAGTATTTTATATATAATGCTCTGTTGGCAACCCCCAAGAATGCACCGCTTTACATTCCCTGAGAATTCCTGTTTTTCTGCACCCTCATCAACATCTGGGAACTTTAAAAAATATATATATCATTTACTTAGACTAAACATATAGTGTGAAAACAGTACTTTTTACATCTTTAACTGGTTAGAAAAAAATCAAAAGAAGAATTAAATTGTGGTGACATATGAAAATTCTATGAGATTCAAATTTTAGTATCAGTAAAGACAGTATTTTATTGGTACCCAACTGGATCCATTGTTTTTACGTGTTATCTATGGCTGCTTTCAAAATGCAATAGCAGAGACAGAGACAAAATGCAATGGTAGCTGTGACAGAGACCTATGGTCTGCCGTGCCTAAAATATTTACTGTCTGACCATGCACAGAAAAGTTTGCAACCCATGTTTTAGAGAAATTCAGCCTGTATACAAAGATACTGGGGTGCAGTTGTACAATAATACTAACCATCACAGACCAAGTGAACTATAACTACACGTAACAACATGAATGAATCTCCCAAACATAAAGGTGAGAGAAAGAAGTCAGAAACAGAAGAATACATATGGCCTGCATCTTCCTGGAGCCCAGTAGAATGTTGTAAAACAAGTCTATTTGACCCATACTGACAGAAGTCAGGAGAACGGCAACCTGTGAGGGTCAGTATAGTAACTGGAAGAGGCCGGGAGGGGGCATCTCAAGTGCTGATCTGATGCATGAGTTTGCTCTAAAAATTCACGGAGGTTTACACTAATGATCTGTGCCCTTCCTGTAGGTTAAGTTATGCTTCAGCCTTCCCTGGTATCTCAGCTGGTAAAAAATCTGCCTGCAATGCAGGAGACCCCGGTTCGATTTCTGGGTCAGAAAGATCCCCTGCAGAAGGGATAGGCTACCCACTCCAGTAATTCCTGGGCTTCCCTAGTGGCTCAGATGGTAAAGAATCCGCCTGCCATGCGGGAGACCTGGGATCTGCCCCTGGGTCGGGAAGATCCCCTGGAGGAGGGCATGGCAACCCACTCCAGTATTCTTGCCTGGAGAATTCCATGGACAGAGGAGCCTGGTGGGCTACAGTCCATGGGGTCGCAACGAGTCGGACACAACTGAGCGACTAAGCACAGCACAAGTTATGCTTCAACAAAATTTTACAAAGAGAAAAGAGAGATGGAGATGGCCACAGCTTGGCCCACATCTGGGAACACAGAGTTACATCAAAGTGGGCCAACATATCTTCCATATTGTCTCATTTTCTGTTTCTTAGCATTTCCTCAGTAGTTCAGTTTTCATTGCTCTCCTCATTACTTCTCTCCCCTGGCTTTCAGAGGAGGAACTTCTAGCTTGGTGGACCATTTCTGTGATAAATAGGAAATAGACGGCTGTTAAACAGGTTTGTCACAAATATTTATTACTATGTGACAAATCACCTCCAAGATTAATGGCTTAGACAACAATATTTTATTGTTTGCTCGTGATTCTGTGGGTCAGGCAGGACTCAGCAAGGGGTTTCTTTGGCTGCATGTGGCATGGGCCTCAAGTCTTGCACGGGGCTGAGCGGCAGTCCCAGGTGGACTGTGCAAGAAGCCTTAACTTAGAGTCTGGTTCCTCGGTGCTCCTTTCCACACGGTTCTCATGGGCTTCCTGATAGCACGGCAGGCTCAGAGTTATCAGACTTCTCACGTGAGCAAGAACAAGAACATGAAAGTGCCTCTTCTCTTAAGCCTGGAAGTTGCTGCTGCTGCTGCTGCTAAGTCGTTTCAGTCGTGTCCGACTCTGTGTGACCCCATAGACGGCATCCCACCAGGCTCCCCCGTCCCTGGGATTCTCCAGGCAAGAACACTGGAGTGGGTTGCTATTTCCTTCTCCAATGCATGAAAGTGAAAAGTGAAAGTGAAGTCGCTCAGTCTTGTCCAACTCTTAGCGACCCCATGGACTGGAGCCCACCAGGCTCTTCTGTCCATGGGATTTTCCAGGCAAGAGTCCTGGAGTGAGGTGCCATTGCCTTCTCTGAAGCCTGGAAGTTGCAAAACTTCAATTCCATCATATTATATTTGTCAAAGGAAACCATGCGTGCTGTCATTCAAGAAGAGGGGAAATGTTGAGTGTGTATGATGATTCCATAGTAAAAAGCAAGATAAATAACCTAAATTTTGTTTTAAATTTTGGGGAGATGGGGACTTCCCTGGTGGTTGAGTGGTTAAGACTCTGTGCTCCCAATGCAGGGGCCCGGGGTTTGATCCCAGGTTAGGGAACTAAAGCCCACATGCTTCAACCAAAAATCTCACATGCTGCAATGAAGATTGAAGATCCCATGTGCTGCAACTAAGACCTGGCCTCACAAAATTAATAATTTTTTTTAATTGGGGTAAATTGACTTCCTTCTTGATGTGAGGGACAGAAATGCATTTGTGATCTTTTTTAATCCACCCAGAACTTTATCTCACCCAAGTGCCATTTCTGAAAACTCAATAACAAATAAACACATGATTTAATTATTTGTAGTGATGGTTAGATAGACTCAATGGACATGAATTTGAGCAAACTCCAGGAGATAGTGGAAGACAGAGAAGCCTGGTGTGCTGCAGTCCATGGGGTCCCAAAGAGTCAGGCACAGCTTAGTGACTGAACAACATCAACAAGAGACAATGGACAGAATTACCTGAACTGGAACTTGTCAACTTTTCATTTACAACAAATAAATGCTACTATGTACTCTGTTGAGTATGCAACCCACAAAACACAACATCACTGCAACAGCGATTACTGTTCCCTGCACTCTAGTCAAGATCAATTCTTCCCAAATGATAGCATGCAGAGGTCAGAGTGAAGACTGATGGTGTTGCTCTGTGAACCGCAGAGTGTGACTCCCACGGTGGTGGGACATGACTGGACCACAGTGGAATCCAACCAATCAGAGATCAGTAACTTCCAAAGCACAGACAGGCTGCAAACAGCTTAATATTCACACCCAGCTTAATATTAAGCTGGAACAGAAATTATAAGGAACATAAATGAGTTGGTTAGGAGTGAAATAATTTATTCAGATGACAACTAATCACACACATTCATGCAAATCCATAAATGGTTGAAAACATGAGAAAGGCAGAAAATTAGATTCAGAATATGTATAAAAATTGAAACAAGCACCCTGGGAGGAATGCATTTTGAATCATATCAGACCTCATCAGCTCTGTGCAGGTTCTGGAGGGATGAGCAGTGTTTCTGAGTTTGAGGAGACTATATCTGGTAAACAATATTGGTGTTTAATCATGTTATTGACACAGGGTTGCAAAGATGGACTTGTGATTTATTTTTTTAACGTACACACAGTAGTTAGGACATTAAAGTGATCATACCCTCAAAAGTGGGGCAGGTGTGTGTGTCTGTGCAAAAAGATCTATTTGGTTTACAAATCTGAAGAAAGTGAAGTCCCTCAGTCGTGTCCGACTCTTTGCAACCCCATGGATTGTAGCCTACCAGGTTCCTCCGCCCATGGGATTTTCCAGGCAAGAATACTGGAGTGGGTTGCCATTTCCTTCTCCAGGAGATCTTCCTGACCCAGGGACTGAACCCAGGTCTCCCACATTGTAGGTAGACACTTTACCATCTGAGCCACCAGAGAAGTCCTGATAGTCAATTTATTTAAGTTACAAGTTCAAATGCAAACTTTTCCTTTAACCATTTTTAAACATTTTTTATTGAAGTATAATTGCTGTACAACATTATATGCTACACATATACAGTACAGTGATCCACAATTTTTAAAGGTTATATTCCACTTTTAATTATTATAAAATACTGGTTATATTCTCCATGTTGTGGAATATATCCTCGTATCTGATTTTACACATAGGAACTTTGTACTTCTTAATGCCATACCGCTACATTGCTGCTTCCCCCTTCCCTCTCCACACTGGCAATCACTAGTTTGTTCTCTTTATCTGTTAAGTTTGCTTCTTTTGTCTTTTCTTAGTTTTTTGAGAACCCTCCATACTGTTTTCCACAGTGACTGCATGAATTTACATTTGCACCAACAGTGTGAGAAGGTTCCTTTTTCTCTCCATTCTCCCCAGAATTTGTTATTTATGGAGTTTTTTGGATGATAGCCATTTTGACAGGCATGACATCGTATCTCATTGTACCTTTTCTTTAACCTTTTTAAGTTCAACCTAGGAAATTTATTACTCTTTTTTTAAAATTCCTTTTAAGTCTAGCAAATAATATCAACCAATTTTAAGAGGTCTTTGGAAAATACTGCATCCCAGTTGAACTTGTTAATTAAACACCTTCATGAATTTTAAAGTGCACTTAGAACTGTTAATATATTACATTCAGTTTCCTTTTTAGTCACTTCACTTGGTTCAATTAACAAATATATTTCCAGGTATGCAAATAACTTTAAAATCTAATAAATTAAACTTATAAATATAGTGAAACTTCAGTTCTCTTAAAATATCCCAATACTATACAAGATTAGTTTTCAATTAAAATCGTGTTTCAATAAATTACTCAATTATATATTTTACAGGGGTTTCCAAAACTCAGAACTTCTTTGTAACGTTAAAAATGTATAAAATACCAAATATACATAGATTCTTTCTTTAACCCAAATATGAATTCCATAGCTTTGATTCTCTTAAAAGTTTCTGTACTTTTCCCAAGTCCTCCTGGAGCTGAGAAATTCATTCCAAGCACAGATGGTAATTACCATCCCATGACTGAGCCTGCATACATTCCCATAATCTGGGCTGACCGCTGGCTAGATTCTTGTCAATAACCCTAATGGGACACTTGAAGTCTATAAATGATTACTATGTCCAGGATGCTACACTTCACAGGAGGTGCTCTCAAGACCCTCGCCCTTAATTTTAAGCTGTACACACAATTAAGTTTCTTCCATGTACCCTGTGGACATCTCTACAGGCTGGTAGCTCGATCTTTGATTGAATTTTGCACGTTTTTAGTTCTCAAACTATGTACTTGTCTCTCTACCTCTAAAGACCTTTGCACTAGAGGAATCCTAAGATGTGTAAATATCCTTTTATCTGCAAATAAGATCTTTGGAATCCATGGAATCTTTCCAGAGGCTTTGATCAGATCAGGTTTGGATTTTAGGGCAAAATTGCCTCATAGGCTTGCTGTGTTTTCCTCCCCAGAGGCACGTCAGGTCTTTGGTGGCTGTCTTCTGGTGATTTCAGCATACTTTTTGGATTTCCAAATTGTATTCAGTTTTGGATATCTCACATGACTTTGTCTCAACTGTGGTCACCGAATTTGAGATTGTCTTATTGACAAGAAAGTATAATATATCCGACTGGCAAGCTATACCTCTTGATTTCTTGCTGTTTGCAGATATACAGTGGAGAACACAATAAGTTCTTTTCCTTCTGTTGCTTCTTGCCCAGACTCCTCTGTCCCTGGAATTTTCCAGACAAGAATACTAGAGTCAGTTGCCATTTCCTACTCGAGGGGATCTTCCTGACCCAGGGATCAAACCTGCATCTCTTCTGTCTCCTGCACTGGCTTCCCTGGTGACTCAGACAGTAAAGAATCTGCCTGAAATGCGGGAGACCTGAGTTTGATCAGTCCCTTCAAATGTTAGTTGATGATATTAGGGAATTATTTTTTTTAATTTAGATTGGATAGGGAGTTCTCTGGTGGTGCAGTGGCTAAGACGGTGCTCCCAATTCAAGGGGCCTGGGGTTCAATCCCTGACCAGGGAACTAGATTCTAAATGTCAAAACTAAAAAAGATCCCTCATGCCGCAAATGAAGAATTAATGCTTTCGAACTGTGGTGCTGGAGAAGACTCTTGAGAGTACCCAGTTTACATTACCAGTTGCCTCATAAACATCACAGATTTTTTTTTCCAGTTGGTTTGTATGAACCAGGATTCAAATACAGACCACACCATGCTACTAGTTCCTATGTTTCTTTAGTTTTTTTTTTTCTTTTTTCTCCTACAGACTCCCTTTCCATCTCTCTTCCTCTGTCCCCTCCTATCCCCTTAGAGCTTATTTTTGGAAGAAACAAGGTCATTTGTTGGACATCAGCTGGGATTTTGCTGATAGTATTCCCAACTTGTTAACTGTTTCTCTGATGTCTGTATTTCCTGAAAGCAGGTAACCAGGTCTACAGGCTTTGATCCCTCGATACGGATTTGACTTTTGAGCAAGACTATGTCATAGGTGGTGTGTTTTTTCTGAGGAAACACATCAAGTCTAGTCATCTGTCTTTTTATGATCTTAGCAACAATGGAAACTCAGTGCCAGGATCTAGTCAATTCATGGGGGAGGGGTCTTCACTCTAATTCTGATTCCATTACTCCTTCTTCAGGCTTAGCTGAAATGTTTCCATAAAGAGACACTTCTTGAATTGTGAGAACAGCATGGAAACACATCCATTACCATATGTAAAATAGATAGCCAGTGCAAACTTGCTGTGTGTCACAGTGAGTTCAACCCAGTGCTCTGTGACAACCTAGAGGGCTGGAATAGGATGCAAGATGGGAGGGTTTTAAGGAGGGAGGGGACATATGTAAACCTATGGCTGATTCATGTTGATGTATGGCAAAAACCGTATATGTAGAGCAATTGTCCTCCAATAATTGTATTTTGTTCTATACCTCTCAGTATTGTACAATTATAATCTTTGATAACTATTAGTGACTCAAAATGGATA